TGCTAGTGGGCATGTCTAATGCACAAGATACCCATATGTCTGTCACTAAATGCTGGAATCTGGTTCCGCGGGCTCGAATGCTGGCGACGTGGCCTCCTGCGACCACCGCATACAGACTGCACGACTGTTGGGATAAGGGTCAACTCACGTGCCAGACATTCATCCAGACCCCAGGTGCCTATCCAGGACCATCTCGACGACGCCTTGCAAACGTAGTAAGATCTCAACATTCAAGTCCACTGACTGCATTCATTCACTGAGATCTACATATCTTTCTTACCACCAACCGCCGTACCGAGGCTCATACCAACCTCGACCGCAACCTGGACGCGCTTCTCGCTAGCCTCAAGCAAATCGTCGTCGAAGCGAAGCCTACCCTTCTGGAAAGCGACGATGATGGACGAGTCTCCGAACTGGAAAAGCCCGATTTCTTCGCCCTTCTTGATTTCGGCGCCTGGTGTTCGCCATTTCTCGTGGATCCTGTTGAGAGTAAGTGCCTAGTTGAGGGAAGTCGCAGATTTCCGCAGTAGGGAGAGGGAAGGGGAGGTATTGAACGTACTCCACAGTGCCAACATCAGTAGCCCCGATGGCAACAAACAACACCTCGCCAAACTCCTCGGTGTCAATGACCACATAGTCCCTCGCATTCCTCGTGAGAATGTCAACGTGATTACCCAGCGCCACGGGATCAACCTGATAGTAGTCACCGGGCATGCTGCGAAACAGCTTGACGGTCCCGGAGACAGGTGAGTGGTATCTGTGGTAATCCTGGGACTGAGACGGAAGCTCGCGACTGCGCCGTCAGTGAACTGCGCGCCGAGCACCTAGTCCATGACGAGATTGGTGATGCTGAAGTCGTGGCCTTTGATCCAGAGTTTCTTGACCTGGGAGACGGTCGGGTAGGTGACGACACGGGAGTCGGCGACCACTACAGCGTTTTTTGGGTTGTCTGGTTCGTGAGTCGGGCGAGAGGCGGCAGTGTGATGGCGCACGAAGAAGTCTTCGAAGTTTGAGTACGCGTCGGGGTCGGAGGGCTCAAAGTCCTTCATGTTGATGTGGTAGAAGTCGATGAATGGCTTGATCTGCATCTTCGAGCTGCGCCCTGCTTCTTGTTTGCCTAGAAGCATCGGTCAGCATCTGCTCGTATTGTGTCGTTTTCTGAACTTTGACGTACCGGCAGAAGTTGATTTCCTGTGAATGTGCAGCCTCATGGCATGTGTCGTATCGATCCATTCGGTCACGGGATTGAAGAGGAGAAGCAGCTTGATCTTCTTCAGGATGGGTTCTTGCTCACGCATGATTTTACCGCTCTGGGATTTGTCAGGATCGACCTTTTCCGCAGAGCGTATCTGAGGTTATAGATCATACCTTGCGATCAAGGCTCAGCCATCCAACCTCACGGTTTTGAGCCTGCGAATCACATGGGTTAGCAGAGTATCAAAATTGTTGACTCTCAAGTAACTTTACCAGACGGACAAAAGTGAACAAGTAGTCCAAGATGCCGTGAATGGTGTCCCAGAAGCCCATCTTTGTGTTCAAACTGAGAATTCTCAATGACCAGAGTAGGTATCTCCACAGGTAAGTTGTTGCTCTTTAAAAACAACGTTGTGTTCTAGGTACCTATAACATTTCCTTGGAACTGTTTGTCAGTGTGTAAGTTGCTTCACAGGATTTGATGTCATGTTGACGTGCCCTCAAAGTGCACCAGCTGTGCCAACCTCTTTTTTTGACCACTCAGACGGAGCAGTCTCCGTGACTCGGGAGCTACTGGTCTTCTCATAGGACTCGACAACCTTGCCTGCCAACAACCTTGAGATGCTAGAGTATCAATTTTCCGATCTTGCAAGCCGTGCCATCGTGACATGGAGGAGTACAAGCACCCCTTTTCTTCCTGCAGCTCGTCAATCACTGGATTCGGAACATTGAAATACAGCGTTTTCTCGAGGTATCTCCAACACGCGGACGTTGATCGTCGTCGCAACGTCTCCGGAGCTTTTGCAAGCTCCTCGGTTGGGATAAGACGATGAAAGCCAGTGGGTTTATTATGGGATTCGAACGACGATCGACGAAGACATCCCCTCGCAATGTTGAAGCGCAACTCCTTGGCTCCGGCTACTCTAGGTTCGTCTCATATATTCACGCTTCGAAATGCCCTAACAGCCGTGCTGCAGCTCGTGCGCTGGTCGCTGGAGCTGGAACCCCCGCGCATGAGCAAAATCCTAGCCCATCACGTGGAGTGGGATACGTGGTTGAACGAGGGGACGCCAGAGAATTGCGCGCCGCCACTGGCTTCCAGTTCGGGTATTGGAGAAGGAGGTAGCTTACGAGATGGTTTCGATAGTCGTTCGGTGGACTTTGTTTCACCAGGGACGCAGCTGCGCAAATAGTTCTTTAGGAATGCGGGATGGAAGATGGAGTTTCGAGTATCATGTTCTCAACTTCAAGCCCGTCGGCAAGCAAGAACAGGGATTGCATTAAGGTACGAGGAGATCGTGGAGGATCGACACGAGCCGTTTGTTCGACGTCATCTCCAGACGAAGCATCTGTGGCATCAGATTCAGGGATGCGAAAGGAAAGAGTTCATAGAGGAGAAGGGCAGAATTGACCTGACTATGGCGCCAACGATGCCACGAGACGAACACGATGAACTGTTCTTGAGAAATGCGCTATCTATTCTATCACACACAGAAAGTCAAGACAGCAAATAGGGAGCGATGGCACTATTTTTAGCGCCCAGATTTCGGTCCTCCGCCTCCATCTCTTTTGATCTGGACTCTTCCCACTGTGGCAGCTGTGGCTTCCTGTAAACGGGATGGCCCGTACCTTCTCCCCCCTTATCGTATCAGCTGGGCCACCGTGCTGGAAACAAAGTACAAAGCACCCGACACCACTCACCACTCAACACCCTCACGCTTTCCCTCCCACCCATTGTTATCATTGTCAACATCTCCAACTTTGCTCTCGTCCATCTACTATGTCTGTGAATGCATGCAGCAGCCCTTTGTCGTCAACCACTCCCAAATCGAACCGACCAGACTGATTGATCGCCGTCCTGCGTGATCCCCTAGCCCGTACCCTACCTTATACTTGTACAGCGTACCTCCCGCCCTGAGATCCGGACCTGTTCATGCCCTCTCTGTTTGCTTCCACCTGTTCAATATGGCTTATTTCCCTGCCGCGCCTGCGATGAGCGATGCAGAAGTCCCGCCCTTTGAACTCGGTCCCGCGGAGCTCGCCGCCATTTGCGCGTCGGAGGGGTTTCAGGTCTTGAGGAATTACCTGGCGAACGATCCGGAGCAGGGGTATGTGGTTATTTTATATCAAATGTGACTCTCTTCTAACAACCATTGTTAGCTTTTGCGAATGCCATGCCTCCTCCGACGACGACACCAAAGAAGCGTGGATTCTCCACCGCGACATCCTCCATGCCCTGATCATGCCTGTCGTTCAGTTGTTCAATCGAGCCTCCATCCTAGCAAAAGCAGCACTGTGTACTCAGAAGCCTGAGGAACTTGAGCTGGCATATAGGGGAGATGCTCGAAGCGCATTCCTATGGCTACAATGCTTCGTAACAGAAGAAGAGGATTGGTGCTTCACAAGGGGGTGTCCTGGTACGTCCCCTCCAATTCCACATCCGGTCCACAACTGACAACAACGCCCATCCAGCCTGCATCACTGCCCACACAATCTCTAGCGAATCCACCATCCGCGCCGCCATCACCTCCGTCCTCCTCTCCAGCTCGCATACTCCATCTCCTTCCCCATCCACAACCCCCTCTTGCGCCGACTCCGACCTCGAAGACTCCGCCATCTCCCTGTCTCCAATCACGGCAACTCCCTCCTCGGACCTTTCTCTCCCCTCCTTCTCCGCCTTCCTGCCCTCTCTCGCACACGCCATAAGCACCGACCCCTTCTGGGGCCCCTCCCACTACGACCACCTCCTGCGCAAATCGCACGTCCTCCACTCAAGCCTCCAAGACCTCATCCTACAAAGCGCGGACCTCGCCATCCTAGTCGAAGAAACACCCACGAACACATCGTCGTCGCCAGCGTGTCTCTCGCCGCTCGAATGTCGCGCCATCGCCAACGGCGAGCGCGTTCGTCCCGTGGGCTGTAAGGTTAAGAGAGGCAGGCTAGCGAAGAGACAGGCGAGGTTGGAGGAGGAGGAGAAGATGTTGCTTGCGAGGGTGGTTTGGCAGGCGTGGAGTGCGGTTGTGGTGCCGCCGGCTGAGAGGTTGAAGTTGAGGGCTAGTGGGCGGAGGAGAGGAGAGGGGCAGATGAGGAGGAGGAGTTTGACTTGTCCTTGAGCAGTTGTCGGGCATCCAGGTTTGGCACAGCAGCAGTATAGATGGAATGGGGAATACGGAACAGGAGACAAGAGACAGGAGATTGGCTATAGATGCATTGGATTGTGGACACATGCACCCACTCGAGGCGTTTTTCTTTTGTAGCAAAGAGATGGCATAAGGAGCTGCATTGGATATCAAGCAAGCATGGTACGCACTTTTGGAGGCGCTTTCGTTAGAAGACCACTCAGCGAGACGTGGCGAACCGCCCAATACCCCTTGCCGATTCTTGGCCTTTTCAGAGGAACAACTGGTGTTTTTGCGCATAGAACATTGTAGTCGTGGAATTCTAGTTTATCTTTAATACACAAGTCTTGAAAAAACTACTCTGTGTCCCCTGCGCTGTTGTGGCGATACGTGCGGTCAAGGGAAAGGAGCGGAAAGGGGGCAATATCGAGCAACCCTCCTGCACAACCCAACAATTGTGGAATGCAACGACCGACATATCTGAAACAAAGCTACAGAATAGTGTTTTGTATCGCCTCTCCTCCTCCGGCCCACTGCAACCCATCTGCAATAGTGCATCGAAACGTTCGCGTCGTTGACTCAGGCAAACGAACGGACCCCGCACCTTCCCTATCCGGCGTCCTCCTCCGGGCAGATAATCCCCGCATTCATAAACCAGCCATAGTTTCGTTATTTCAATCTTTGGCCGGTTCGTTGGCGCAATGGTAGCGCACAGCCCTCCTATTTACAAACACGAAGGTCAGGCTGGGGTTGTGGGTTCGAGTCCCATGCGAATCGCATTTTTGCTATATTCCACGACATCTTTTGCTTCGTTTTTGGGTTTCTGGTTTGTGAGTTTTTGAGTTTTGAGTTCTTTGGGGTTTGGATTGTCGGGTGTCAAGGGAGGGGTCTTTGGTGGAAGGAGGAGGGAATGGGAGGAGGGGAGGCACGGCAGATAGTTGAACACTGCGGCTGTTATTGTTGTTGTACTAGTTATAGAAAAATCGCCTGTTCAAGATCTTTCGACGTCGATCGTGGGATGATGTCTTTTTTGTCAAAAGTAGCTGTTTGAATGATATCAAATGCAATACATCTGACATTTTTATTACCTCCGGGCTTTTCATTACCAACTCAAAATGTCAAAGAACTTGCCAACCTTCAAGCAAACGGCCATGAAAAGTAGCAATTGAATATATATGTCGGTAACTATTCAACCACAAGTCACGTGTATTACAATACATGGTGATCCTGGTGAGAGCACTCAGCACTTGCCACGTCATTCTCCTAGTCCTTGGTAGATACACTTCGATAGTCCCTCCTTTGGAGAAGAATTAAGACAACCAACACGAATCCAAAGACATACAGAGGCTCCACTGTCACCATCGACAGCGGCGAGCTTTGTGTCAAGTGATTCGCGTGTGTCTAGTCACTATCAACTTCTATGCATAGAAAGGTTTCCCGACAATATATTTACAGCAAGAATCGACGACTATTTACCACCCCACTACTCCATTCGTTCTTCTCCTCACCAAAACCCAAACTTCCATGTTTCCTCGAACCTAGTCCACTACATCACCACTGGCAGCGATCCAAACCCCCCCGCCGCCCGTCTTCCCCTTTCTAAATCTGATCACCATCGCTACTCACCAAGCTACAACAATTGCGACAACACACCACATCAATTGTCAATGCGACGCATGAGCCTACGTACTCCCTCCTTTCCCGCAATGTCTCGCCTATTTTACCATCTGCCTCTCAATTCCACTTCCACTTCCACTTCCACTCCCCAAGTTACCTTCTTGTCCGAGCACTTCGTTTCAAGAGAGCAAAACAAAACCAGTACAACAAACAACACCAAACAAAACGCTGCACTGCATTCCACCAACTCCACCCGGTTCAGCATGCTACACTGTTCCTCTCCGCTCACCTCCATCGACGCCAATCCGTCCATCGGATGGTCTTCGCACCGAGCCTTCGAATACAAGTGGGCAAAGCGGTGAAAAGTCTCTCTTCACCACCACTCTTGTGTTGAATTTGACCCTCAAAGATCAATCATTCATCACCTTCGCCGATCCTTCTAATCGCCATAGTCGGCCTCGTAGTTGTCGTCGTCGTCGTGTTTTCGTGTGGGCCGTTGAATATCGTACAAGGAGCCTAAAAGCTCCCAAAGAAAAAGTCGAAGACGTCAACCATGAAAGGTTGCAAAAAAGGTGGTAGAGCAAATTGTCTGCGTGCTCCGCGTACAATTCGTCCTCGTGATACAGGATTGCGGCGGTCTTTGTTGCATCTTCTTGTCCTGCCAGTGCAACTTGCTTGCTCGTCCTGGCGGGGGTGATCATGATTGATCAACAAATCTTTCCTCGCAGTTGAAACTCCAGGCTCGTGGTCTCGGACAGGGAATGGCCATTCTCGTAACCCGTGGCCAGGAAAGGGGAGCCTAAAAGCAATCTTCGAAGACATGTAATCCACGACGTCATGTCACAGCTTCTTCAAATCATCATCTTTTTCTTTTTCATCAATGCCCGCATATCTCTCATCTCCACCAAAACACCGAAGTCGATGCATCGCTCGTCGGAATATCCGGCCGTCCCCCCTCCGACGCATTAATAGTCCTCCCAAACGGATCCTTCAGCAGCCCCGCCAATTTCTCCGCAATGCCCACCGTCTGCTGATAATAGACCTGCTCGTTGGTCTCCTGTTGCGCGAGTGTTTGCGCCTTGAGTTCGTTGCTCGCCTCATCGCCACTGCACGCGTACGAATACGCGCTGCGATGCACGTCCTCATCGTCCTGCAACTTGCTCTGGCGGAGGAACAGGAGCCCGTCGTAGAGGGGCTGGACGAGGGATGCGAATTTCGCGGCAACGTGTTCGCGCGGGCTGGCTGCGGACAACTTTTCGAGACAGGCTTGGGCGTAGAGGAGGTCGTCGTCGATGCCGTCGATCATGCGGTCGAGCATTTTCTGCGCCGCCATGAAGAGGAGGATTGTGGCGGCCGTGTAGGCCCAGTAGACGGTGAGCCAGCAACGGAAGGTCATGACGCCGTCGAAGCTGATGAGGCCTAGGATGCGAGCGATTTGCTGCGCGGCCATGGAGCAGCGTTGTTGATATTCCAGTACGCCTTGCTGAGCTACTGGAACGGGTGAGGGCAAGCTTTGCCGCCTCTTCTCGGCCAGTAAAAGGGGTTCGCGGTAGAGGAGGGTTATGGCACCGAGATAGAGGACGTGCACCATGAGGACGGCGCGTCTGTGGAAGAAGTTGAGCATTGGGGCGTCTTCGTTGGAGAGGGCGGCCATGTGCATGCAGTCGGGGAGATTTTGATGCCATCTGTCGAGTTTCTCGGCGAGGTATGCCACCGTTGTCGAGCTGATGCGCCCGCCGATGACAAGATTGTCTGATATCTCTGCTGCGACGAGGGCGACCTGTGTAGCTTGGAGGTTGATGACGTCCTCCATCGGGGACTCGTTCTCGAGTGGTCCGCACGTGAAATTGACATCTTCGAGCTGAATGCTGGAGGTGAAACCAAGCGTATATGAAAGCCAGCTGGGGTGAATCAGAATACATTCGTGAGACCGGGCTGCATATAAAGTACTTACCAATCGACGAAAACGAGCGTCCTGAGCTGGTTGTCAGTATGTGTGCAGGAAAGCCCATCCGAAAGGGCACTTACCGATAGATTCTCATCCATTTATGTACCTCGGAGTGGGTTGTGAAGGATGCAACCAATTGAGGGTATTTCCATCGGGCAACTTGAAGACCGGCAACTGGAGACGCGTAAGTTCTCATGCAAAACATGATGAGTTGATAGGTACGTACTTGCAAACTGTCGAGCGCTGAGGTGCTTCTCCAGAATGCTAAAGAATGACAGACAGGCCAGAATCCTCATGACCCGCAGATAGTCGTCTTCGGCAACTTCGTGAAATTGAATCGTTCCTGAAGTATACAAGGTCCTTCGGGTGTCTTCCATTATGTAGTTTGAATCGTAGTGGGCCCCTATTGCCGCAGACACAAACATCTCAGCGAGCGTCAAGGAGTCAGGTTCTTCTTCACCGTGATAGACACGATCGACAAGAGCAGTCATATCATCCTGCGCCCACAGGTGGAGCACGGATCCGGTTCCTTGAATCAAGGCAGTTGTGGAGTGCCTGATCATGTCTTCAGAAGGCATGTTCTCGGGACCATAAGGTTTGACGTTGGCATAGTCTTTTCTCACTTCGTGCAATTCGCACATGGCCATTACGAGAGCATCTTGACAATCTTCGCTTTCGGATGATCGACTGGAAGCGGACGGTTTGTGTGAAGTCAACGGCGATTCAGAAGTATTGCCATTGGATGGCGAGGCAACCGAGGAGGCCTCGCTCATTCTCCGTGAAGGAACTGCCGACGGTTTCGGACAATCAGGCTGCTGGGCCTTTGAAGCTTCGGTCTTCTTGAAGTCTTGGAGATACTTTTGGTGGTGTTTGTAGGCGTCGGTTCGTTTGTATGCCTCCATCTGAATATCGTACTCTTCCACCGCTTGGGCGGCTTCTCTTTCCCATGACTGCTTATCTTCCGGATCCAGATTCTGCCAACGTCGGCCCACCTCTCTTGCAATGTCGACGAAGCCCAAGGAGGCAATGGAGGGATCGGTCCTGAGGTGATCGGCAAAGTTGACGTATGCCGTCTTCGGTCGCTTCGGAGCCTCCTTGTCCGCTTTGGGGTGTCTCTTGTACTTGCGCTTCGTTCGTCTCTCGTTGTCTCCAGGATAGAAACCGTCCCTCATGCCGGTAGGTTGGGAGCTTTCCGGTGCAGAGGAGTCGGGCGCATTCGGGCTCTGGCCAGGCGACTTCTCTCCACGCAATCGCTGATTTAGGGGGTAGCCGCGCGCGCTGGCGATTTCGCGCTGCAGGAGTCGGCGGTGGCCCAGTTTGAAGCCCAGGTTTTCAAAGTCGGCTTCTGTAATGTCAAGCACGCTAGGCCAGGTGTTGAAGCCATTGGCGACGAGCACGGGGAGGTACTGCTCGAGGCCCAAGCGAGCCAGAACGTCGCCCAGTTGTGACATGCCTGGTAGACATGGCCTGCGAACAAAGGAACAGGTTGGGTTGTGAGTGTGGCGAGTTGAAAGTGCGGGCTGAGGGTGAAGGTGAGGATGGAGGACGTGGACGTGGAGGCTCTATCGGTCTTGACTCTTTTGCCACCGGGGCCTGGTGCGGTGCCAGGAGGGAGCCAGGCCGCTAGGAGGGAGCCAGAGTCGTCTTTTGCAGTGACAGGAAGTCGGGAGGAGTCTCCGCGCCAATCAAGCGGCTAGATTGGCCTAATGCACCATGACGTCTGATAAACCAGCTGGAAAGGACAGGACGGCGGGCCAAGAAGTCGACCAGCGCCGCGGGGAAGAAGTTTAAACAGAGGGAACGGAAGCCAGCAAACTCGCTGAACTGCGCCACGAGTCAAAGGCGCTGGACGAATCCAAGGGCGGGTGCGTGGGTACAAGCACGGGATATCTAGGTATAGGTAGGTAAGGTAGGTATGTAGGAAGTGCACACGGTAAAGAGACACAGCGCAGCCCGAAAAAGAGGCCCGACCACCAGCCTTGGAGACTGGAACTGGAACTGGAACTGGAACCCCTCGAAGTTTCCTGGAGACCCTGCAGGGCAAAAAAGTTGAGCAACCCTGAAAGACTCGCTGTGGGAAACCCCCGAGACCCTTAGAGCTGTGGCGGGTGCGACACCCGCCCGTGCTAAGTGGTGCTGGGCTGGACGGAGATGACTCCGGGGTATAAAATGGGCGGGGGTAAAGGGGACTAGAAGCCGGCCGTCATGTGGA